GGTGCCTTAATCCTTATGTAACGTTAGCCTCCTCTGAAATCTTATAGGGACAACTATTATTTCACTGAACAAGACTTTGTCGAGTTACACTTCGGATGTCTCATTTCATTTTGTGATGTACCGTATCTAAACAAATCTTCATACACTTCACAACCTGAGACAAGAAGACAACTTGAAAAGCCTGGAATTTTACCCTGAAGGTGATCTTTTGGCCTTCCATGTATCAGTGTTGAATGCATTTTCTGACTCTAGCCTTTTCTTGGTAATTTAGTACATTATCTTTCTGTTAAATAAAGGGAACCTGCCTTCAAAATTAGTGGTATGAAACCGCAGGAAGTTGATCTCTCAAATGACAAAAACATTAAGAACATTATATTTTCAATATACATATGTGAAGCGTGCTAACAAAATGAGTTACTTCTCTAATTCAAGCCTTATTGGAACAGAAACATAATGCTTATTAGTGAAGTTTTACAGTTTACAAGTATGCAAGAGGCATGTTATACATAAAAAATAGAGCATCAATAGAAGATCTGTTAATTTGACCTAGGTGTTGATTTTTGGCCAATATCTCCTTTGCGAGAAGTAACTCATTTTGTCAGCACGCCTCACATATTATATTGAGATACGTAGAAGGGGGGGGGGGTCTAAATTCAAAACGTACCACTTCTAACTATTAGCTAATCTTTGTAATTGCTCATGCCACCATAACATATTTCCATCCTGTCCATCAACGGGTACACTACGGACTTCTTCTTGTAACTCACCCAATCTGGGAATGGCTGGGGCTGGACCTCCGAACTCCCCAGCTCCGCCTTTTGACATCTGCACCATGATCTCCTGCAGAGTCAGCCTGGACACCAGATCATCCACACGTTTGTCCCATGGTAAGCTGGTATCTCTGAACGGGAAATCGTCAAAGGGAGAATCTTCCTCCTCCACACTCATGTGTCTCACTGTGTCATGGTGACGCCTGGACAATCTGGAGCCAACAACTCCATTGTTGGACATACAGAGGGCCAGTATAAGAAAGCTTATACAGCAAGGTAGTCGGGACAACACCGACCTCATTTTGTTGTTGGCGTTTTAGAAATCTGCTTTAGAGAGAAGAAAGAACAACGAAAAAGTGCTTATGTTGTGGAAACTGTGATGCTTTATCCTAATGACTGGTTCAATGAAAATTGCAATAAAAATAGCTATAAAATGGCCTAAAATTAGCATATAATTTTATTTTTATTCCAGCAGACATTTCACAGGACCTCGTTCACGCAAGAAATATTCAAATAGTCAAGGCTAAAGGTCTCCTCTCAACACACAGGGAACAGTAAGAACGGACAATATAATTTAGATCAAATATTTGTTTCAAGTTTTAGTGTGTTACATTTTTCAAAGGATATCATCAAAGGTCAACTGAAATAGCATAGCAATGTACTGAGACCACAAAGAAAAATCTGCAAATCTCAGTTATTCGAATAAGTCATTCGAAGTCATTCGAATAAACAATAAGCATTTAAAAAATATATCACAGGAGAAGTCACAACACAGCGTGCGGTGACGTAGACAAAAATAGAAATAACCGAAGCTGTTATCCCTCCAGCGTTCTAATAGATCAGAATCTATTGAGTATTTTCAAAAGAAACAAATAATACATTTATTTACTCGAACGCTTTGGAAATAAAGAAGGTCTACGATCACAACTGCAATTTTAACAATCCCCCAGATCCAGTGAGAAATTGAAAATGTGCGGACCCTGCCCCTGCCCAATATTAAATAATTGATGTGGACTAAAGTGTTCTTGGGCTACAATCCAGTGGATACTTCGCATCCAAGGTCATGTGCATTCTTGCGGTCTCTCCTTTATTCTCCCTCTACTACAATGGCTGATAGTATAAAAATGATAAAACGAACCTTTTGACATCATCTGGAGTTTGGATATATATCAAGTGCAATTGAGATACTGAAAGAAAGCTAACAACCTTGACTTTGTTTCTTTTTAATCCGAACACAATGCTAATTGCAGAACACCACGAGACAGCCGATATGAAGAAAACAATATTGCTGAAACTGCTGAATTATTGGGCGCACCTCCACAAAAGGAAGAGTATAACATTTTTTATCTCTGCTTATCTGCAGGCCGAGATAGTCAAGTCCAAGGCATTTCAGTGCATCTTAAGTTTGTTTGTTTCGAGTAGAAAGAATAAATATTTCAATTATAAAAAGACAGTCATTTTGCTTTATAAAAAAGTTAGACTGATAGACAGAAACCAAAAAAAAAATTAAAAATGTGTGGGTGAAATGAAAACGTTACTTCATTTTGTAGTACCTCAACCTTTGGTGAGTAGATCCATTTATTATCTTTGGGCACCCCTTTTAACTCCGTTGGTATCATGCTGGACTACGAATGCCCATGGTTCGAATCCCGGACTTGGCGTTCTTGAGCTCAGGTCGTTTTGAGGAGTTTGCAAGGTTCTCAAACCATTTGGCTCCGTCCTATCGGATACACCCGTTAAATTCGGAGGCCCCACGTCTTAAATAATAATAATATAATAGCGTTGGTAGGAACGATAAACGCATACCTTTGTTTTTTAATTTCTTTCTTTTTTTAGAGGGGGGGGGGGGTAAATGTTATATAATATGTAATTTCCTCAAAGGCAGCCAAATTAAAGGATTTCTTCGGAGCTCTCATCTTATGACGCGAGTCTTTTTTATTTTATTTTTTAATAGTAGAGGGTTTTACGGCGCTCGCAACTGCATAAGGTCATATGAGCGCGCGGGACACACCTAATACTTTTTAGTTGGTAGGAAATTTTGAATTTTGCCCGGGTGGCGGCCGAAGCCTACTCTTATCGATTTTAGACCACCAGGGGATCTTTAACGAGCGCAACTTGCACATGGGCCCTCCGAGATTTTTCGCCCTTGTCCGAGAAGGCTAGGTGTAGATCTTTCCTACCAGAAGATCAGGGGTGTGGCAGAAAGACAGCCGTAAGAAGGAGTCAAGGAGTAGCAGTAGAAAGGCTGCAGAAAGAGTCAGGAGCCCAGAGGAGGGGGCAAAGGAGGTGAGGGGTTATGGGGGCAGAAAGAGGAGACGAAAGCAGACGACAGAATATTGCTAGAGAGCAGGAAAGGAGGTGAAAGGAAACAATTTTAGAGAAGAAAATTTTTCGGCCGCTACCCGGATTCAAACCCGGGACCTTTGAATGAGAAGCCAACACCTTAACCTCTTGGCCACGAGAGCCCCCCGCGAGTCTTTTTTTATACTTTTTTTTTTGGTAAGTGTTTTACGGCGCTCGCAACTGCATACAGCCATATGAGCGCGCGGGACACATTAAGCATTTTCAGTTGGTTGGAAATTTTTAATTTTGCCCGCGGGTGGCGGCCCAAACCTATTTTTATCGATTCTGGACCACCAAGGGATCTTTATAGTGCGCAACTTGCACACGGGACCTCCGAGATAATAAGCCCTTTTCCGAGAAGGCTGATGTTAGATCTTACCAGCCATAAGATCAAGGGTGCGGCTGTAACTGCTAGGAAGCTTGTCCTAAACAAAAAGGATAAGAGTTTGATTCTCGGGTGAAGAATACATTATTTTTTCAAGCATAACATATTATTATGCCATCTTTCTGCGGGAATGAATGTACATTTCCCTAATCCATCAAATAGCCGAGACAGATTGTGACAGGCAGGGTCAAACCAGAGACTTCCAAAGTTACCAAAATTAATTTGTCAGAGGGGCGTTTAATCATAACTGTAACTGGCAATGTCTTTATTTATCAGTATCACTTCGTGAGACAAATATGTGATATGACCAGATTCCTAGCAGTATTAAATTATGGAGCCAGGCACCAAATAGTCGACTATGGAAATAATCTAATATTTTACAGGACAACAAAAAGAAAATGCTTTTTTGTTGTTTTTGTTTTGGTAAGAGTTTTACGGCGCTCGCAACTGTATATTAATAAGGTCAAATGAGCACTCGGGACACATTAAACCTTGTAAGTTTAGTAGAAGTTTTGAATTTTGCACGGATGGCGGCCGAACCCTACTCTTATTGATTTTAAGACCACCAAGGGATCTTTAACGTGTGCAACTTGCACACGAAACCTCCGACATTGTTTGCCCTTATTCAAGAAGGCTAGGTGTAAGATCTTACCTACCATAAGATCAGGGGTGTGGCTGAAAGACAGCAATAAGAAGTAGCAAAGGGGTAACAGTAAAACACTTCAGAATGAGTCGGGAGCCCAGAGAAGGGAGGGGGAGGGGGCAAAGGGGAGGGGGCAGAAAGTGGAGACGAAAGGAGACAACAGAATGTGGTTAGAGAGCAGGAAAAGAGGTGAAAGGAGAACATTTTTAGAGAAGATAATTTTCCTTCGCTTTTAGGTACAGGAAATACTTTGTCAAAGTCAGTTTTCTTTTCACTTTTACAATAAAACTACATCAGCACATGATGTCGAGAATGACATTGCATTTCATTAAAAGCCAAAGTAGAGGAACAAGGCTAAAAAACATAAAGTCTTAAACTTGAGAACTCTTGACAAGATTTCTACGCATTGTTACAAAGATGCCCACTCTGATAAAAATTTAACCCAAGTCCTTACATGTGCACTTTGGCTATGACCCCAGCATACCTTTGAAGTTAATCAAATCAATGGTCTGAGTCTGAGGTCAATAGTATACGAAGTCACAGGACAAGCGAAAAAGTGTTATAGAGAGATAAGTACAATGTACATGTATGGCTATACATTTTATAAGTTCGAAATTTGATTGCAATTAATACAAAGAAAACCCAGTTATTGCCCTTTAAAAGAGTCCTCTTTTTTTTAGACACTCGGTATCGTACATAACAACGTGAAGCAAAAGGGAAGCAAAAGATAACAATTTTCAAACGAAGAAAAACGAAACTCAAAACAGAAATCTTTATCAACTGAAAGCAGTGTTCAAGTAGCCTACTTACGATAAGAGATAACAGAGGCCAGGAAATGACAGTTTTGATATCAATGGACCAGTAAAATAAAATAAAAGACACCACAGTTTTTAAAAAAATGAAAAACAAAATTCAGAGAGTTTTTTAATAATAAAAGGGTAAGTCTTATTTCAGAGAAAAAGTACACACAAACACAAGGTATATAATACAGTATAATTGATAAATATATTCTATTTATACATAGTCTACATCATAAAGGAATGGTGATAGTAAGTCATCATGCATTGCAACAAACATAGGTAATGGCACTTGAAATAACTGTTCATTATATGCAGAAAATACTACTAACAATGAAAAAGAACACAGGTCCCATCAAGCACACAATCTCTTTCATCATACCTAATAGGTAAGATAAGCTCAGATACATTTTTATTGTCCAGATAGTGGCAGATTGGTTTGTTGTTTCACCACGTACACAGATCCATACACACCCACACACACCCACACACACACCCACACACACCCACACACACACCCACACCCACACACACCCACAGACACACACACACACACACACACACACATTTTAGACTATAATGTGTATTTATTTTCCCTATAAATGGTAGTATAAGGGTTCAGACAGCTTAACGTAAGAATGTCTTATAGATCTGGCTAAAAGCCCAAACAGCATCTCCTCTTATTAGAATTCGGCATGTTTATTGAATTGATGCAGCATTATTATTGGGGTGTGTGTGGGGGGGGGGGGGTTCTTGCTTTCCTTATCTATCACAAATATCTACTTGCCTGTACTACAACTGCGTTCTCCTACATCAAATTGTCATTCATTTTAAACATATTTTGGTGGGTCAGAGTAATACAAGCTCGTAGTTTGAAACCTGTCACCTTAACAACGAAAATGCTAACCTATGCATTTGTGAAGCGTGCTGACAAAATGAGTTACTTCTCGGCTTCAAGCCTGATGGAAATAGAGACATCACACTTATAGGTGAAGTTTTTACAATTTGTAAGAATGAAATAATAAAAGGAATGTTATAGTTTAAGAACATGGTATCAATAGAAAATCTACAAATTTGACCCTAGTGTCGATTTTTGGCCTGTTTATCGATTTATGGATTGCGAGAAATAACTCATTTAGTGACCACGCCCCACATTTTATCAACTAAAACCTTTTTGCAACAAAACAGGTAATAAGCTTACGAATTATAAAAGTTAATAATCTTTTTGCAATCTACAGAATAGTAATAATATTATCATGTCTATCTGTTAGAATTTCACATTCAATCATTCCAAATTCTTTGGCTACAGTTTTACATTATTAGCAGGCAATTTAGATCAAGGTGAAATCCGTTTATTTATATACCTTGAAATTGAAAGGTCCTTGAAGGTTCACACAATGTTGTAAATGATTCAGCATTGGGATCATGCAATATGAAAAGTAGACATGTTATGATGAGACAATTTTATTGTTTGGCACATTTTAATCTCTGTTGTATATAAGCAGTCAGCTGGATTAAGGATTATTTGTGTAAAAAACACAAACAAATTTATGTATATTCGAACATGTAGCACTGATTAACACAGTTCATACAAGCAAAAATAATTTTGAAAGGTAAAGACAATTCAGCTGCATTTCTTAATCTCACTGTACTTTTTTTTAAAAGACAAGAAAAAAGAAAAACAGAAAATCAGAAAGAAAATCAGCTGCATACAAGGAACTTCTAACAAAAAGAAAGCCATGTGAACTTTAGACATGAAAGTCGTGCAAATGTATGGTTTTCTTGAAGGACAGACTGCAGACATCAAGTTGATTACAAAGACATCTTTTTTTAAAATGTCCATACTTCATACAACAGAAACTCCTCACCGAATTATACTCCAAGATTAACTGTAACTTTGTGTTTCAGTGACACAGTACAAAATCTTTGAAACAATAAAAGGTTGGTGGAAATTGTTATGCAAAACATAAGCCACCAGCACATCCTTAATATCATCTTCCCTTCATTTTAAATACAGTCAAATCTGTCTATGATGGCCATCCACTGTTGAGAAGAAAACAAGTTGTCTTAGGCAGGCGGCCACCTTACACGATGTCATTTTAATCTAAAAAATACTCAAAGGAGAAATGGGAAGTGGTCGTTTGTTCAGGTGATTGCCTTATACAGGTGGACAATAGGGTAGGTTTATTTCATTTATCCATATATATTACTACTAGACACAATAGAAATACAATTGAGACAGAGTATTAAGTCCCACATATCGCATCACAGGGCAGTCAGAAATATTTCAGAAAGGATAGACTCAGCCTTTTGTATTTTCACAAGATGCATTTATACCAGCCAGCACTTGTGAAATCATAAGGACATCCAGTGTACCCTCTCACACAGCAGGATAGACCAATGGCAATGATACATCCCAAGTCTATGTGAGGTATCGTGGTGAAAACAGGCATTCATCAAAATTATAATGAATTTGAAGAGACCAGCATTTTCCCAAAGGTTTGACAATTTTTATCAAATATTTGTGTTTTGGCTCAACATCTTTTATGTCCATTTAAAAACACATTTCTGTTTGGATTTTACTGAAAGTTGATTTAAGGCACAAAAAATGTAAACTTTCAGTTTCAAGGACTCTTAAGCTGAAGAGGTCACCAAACTTTGGCGGTCATTTTCTCTGTAATTTTACATCCGAAACACGACGACCCCCCCCCCCCCCCTCCTTTAACTGCAAATATCTCAACTTCTATTCAAGATAGATGGGTATTCTTTTCAATGAACGCAAGATAAATGAACAGGCTTTAAGATGTTATCAATAATTCTGTACGCCCAAAAATAGACAAGCGCTTGATTCCACCGCATTGCAACACATATTCCTATCAAAAGAAGCTCAAAATAAAATTGAATCCCAGTCACTGGTGCACGCACAAATAAGACTCCACTACAAAGGAACCCGCGATAATCCTTCTTTTAATCTTAGTTCTTTGATTTTTGACAAGACAGGAGGGAATAACACAAAAAAAACCAGGCCTATTGTGCAGAGAGAAGCACTTAACCCCTTCACTGCTGAAAAATTTCCATCAATATCTGTACCAACAAGATAAAATGTTAATTCAAGGAATATTTAAACACAGAGAATTGATTCAGAATAAACAAAATCACACGCTGTAACTAACTATACCAACTAAAACTTCTTTTGTCAACCAGATGAAACAATATAAGTGGAGAATACAAGCCAGAACATACGTCTACTCAGCAGTGAAGAGGTTAATACAACAACAATCCTTTTGTATTAAAAAATGGTAGGCCTACAACTGATAGACATAGGTGAAATAATATTTATTGGATAAAAATAAGAGAAGGTAAAACAGTTCAAACGTGATTAAAGAGTTAACTATTCCCACATAGGCAACATATGATACTGTAACATATTCAATATATCTGATAAAATCTCTAATAAATGCTGAATACAATCTCAGGTTCCAAAGATGGTCTACAAACAACCCCCCACCCACCCACCCACCCCTATACTCACCCACAAACACACATTCGCAAACATACACTCGCAAACACACACCCGCAAACACACACACACACACACACACACACACACACACACACACACATAAACTTAAGTACAGGAACTACTTGTCCAGAACTACAGAGTGAGTGATGGTGAAGGATCCAGAGAGCACGTTGGACGGCACCTGTTTCTTCTGATTGGGCTGTTGACCACCACAGAACAGATTCATCACACCTGGGAGTAGAGAAAAAAACAATCATCATCATCTCATCATCATCATCATCATCATCATCATCATCATCATCATCATCATCTGCGTCATTATCATCATCATCATAATCATCATCATCTCCGTCATTATCATCATCATCACTCAGTGCCATATCTGCAGCAGACATCCGGGATCATGATTCTCCATTAATTTCTTTGCTCCGAAGCTTTTAAAAAAGCTATATCACCCTGATCTGTCCTCGTTACCCATAAATCATTCTATTCAAAGTCAGGTTTTACATTTTGAAACGTTGAGCACAATACAGCTGGTAGTAAAGAAGAAAAAATAATTTCAAAATCAGGTTTTACAGTTTTAAACATTAAGTACAATCATTAAAATCATGGCTTGTTAAGGATTCACATTTTACTGTTCCACTTTCAGACCTTCTAGGTTGATAACACTTAATCCGCAAACATATTTCGATTACGTAAAACAGACTTGCTAAATTTTATTAATACTATATTTTTTCTGTGAAAATTAAAGTCAGCTTTTCACTTTCCTCTTCTGTTAATTCAAGGAATTCAAGTGGTTGCTATCTTTCACCATTAATTTAAGAAACACACACAAAAAAATTATGGTTGTGAATATTTTAACACCCTCAGTGACACAATTCAAACCATTTAAGAGGCAGGCTGCTCTGCCTTACGCTGACAAAACGCCTTTTTAAAAATTCACAGTAGTTTAGAGAAATCTACCAGATTCGGATTTCCTACAATATCTAAATTATATTTTGCACAGTTCATCAACGGTTGATCTCACATCCTGAAGAAAATTTCATTCCCTATGCTCAACAGATACTATAAGAAATCCGAAAATTGTTGATTTCTCAAAATTGCTATGAAAGAAACGGGCATTTTATCAGCGTAGGGCAGTGCTCCGCCCATATCTGTCAAGGCCGACCTGGGCTGAATGAGCCATTTTTTGTGTGCAACAGCAAAGAGCTTAACAGTTACACAATAGAAAATCTGGGAGAAAAACAAAAGAGTGAAAGTCTAATTGAGCCCCCCCCCCCTCCCCCAACTCACCTCAATCTTAAAATACATCAAAAATCTCTTTCAAACATGATGTCATATAATGAGAAAATAAGCTTGTTTGCGACTTGAACTTGCATATCTGCTGATGAACCCAATCCTGTCCCACTTAAATTCATGCCCATCAAATTGTGAACTTTTATTTATACAAAAAAGAGGAGTGAGAAAAATCCCACATAAAAAAGTTTAATAAAGAAAAAGGACCGCGGCTTACCAGCTTTAATGACCCATTTTCCATCTTGCCAAAACGCCATAGATTCAGCAGAAATCAGTGCATTCCACAACACTTTTTGCTGGGGTTTAATGAAGATTCGGTTGAAGTAGCCCAACTGTAGCCGAGGGACAGGAAACGAAGAGTCGCCCCAGCTGATGTAACACTGGAGGACCTGAGAGAACAAAGAGAGAGGGAATGGTAACTAGACACAAGACGTGCAACTTGTACTTTTGTGTGCATTTTTGAGTGAGTGTGTGTGTTTGAGGGTGTGTGTGTGTGTGTGTGTGTCTGTGTGTGTGTGTGTGTGTGCGTTTGTGAGTGCGAGTGTGTGTGTGTGTGTGTGTGTGCATACATGTGTGTATATATGACTATGAGCAAGCATGCAAGTGTTAGTGCATATGTGTCAGTGCAGTGCACATGTGCATGTGTGTGTGTGTGTGTGTGTGTGTGTGTGTGTGTGTGTGTATGTGTGTATGTGTGTGTGTGTGTATGTGTGTGTGTGTTTGTGTGTGTGTGTGTGTGTGTGCACCTGTGTTTGTGTTAGTGTCTGAATGGGAGAGGGAGAGAGCTCAAGAGGTAAAGTGAGGGAGGGAGGGAGAGAGAGAGAGAGAGACAGACAGAGATAGGGACAGAGAGAGGAATTTATATGTCGCATTTGTATACCAGGCTTGGAAAAAAAGGTCAATTCGATGAGAGAAAATATTTGTGAAAGTGCAAGTGTGTGCATTATTTGAGTGTGCATGTGCTCTCTTAGACCCAAAGAAAGATGGGTGGCTTTTTATTAGAAGAGGAATAAGAAAAACAGCTGTGGCCTCTGCAGATGTTGCTCATTGGGCAGGTAGAGGAAATGTTCAGCTGGTAGACAGAGTAGTGGAGAACAATAGTAACTGGAACTCAATCTAAAAAGCTGTCAAAAATGCTTTGATTCTCGTCAGGGACTGTAGCAGTTTGTTTTGTTTTGTTTTTTATTCTAATGATTCTACCGTTCCCACTTTTTCCATTTTCTATGATGTCCCTTACCCATACAGTTTCATAAATGATAAGAGTGAACTGTAACAAGAACTAGCATTTCTGTAACATGTAAGCATTGAATTAAAATAAGACCGTGACTTTCAAAAACTTTCTAGAAATCGGCAATATTTACTTACTCTCTCATACTTCAACAACGTACCTCATCACTGGCAATATTGCCCATGTTTGTGATTGTCACCAGCACATTCAGATCACTTCCTGCCTTGATCATTGCAGGAATCTTCATGTCGGAGAACTTGAACGCAGTATAGGAGAGGCCGTAGCCAAAAGGGTACAAAGGATCTCCTTTGAAGTAACGATATGTTCTCCCTTCCATGGAATAATTGACCATTGCAGGAATCTGAAAGAATAATTAATGTTTTATGCCTAAATCGATACAATTTAGATTAGATTTTAAGGAAAGGGGGTTGGGGAGCTGGGGGGAGGGGGGGGGGGCTGTATTGACTCTGTCTTTACATGTAAATATATGTAGATATCTAATAATAATAATAATAATAATAGATAGCATTTGTATAGCGCATATCCCCACTCAACAGCAGGCTCTATGCGCTTTACACTGTATTATTTTCATTGACTCACTATCAGTCTTGCAAGCGATAGAAAATGACCATCATCTAAACCAAGACTTGACATATACCTACTGTTTGGCTCCCATCACCTGATAACATCCTGTGGCGTCAACCAAATCCAGCTTTGGTTGTGCCTTTGAATGCTGAGCCGTTTTTAGACATTTATCCAGTCATCTGAATAGCTGTCGATTGATGTGATGAAAGCATCAACATCAGTGGGTCTGAAGATTTTGTGTTATTATCTATTGGTTCATAGTCAGAAAGAGTTTACACAAATTAAACTACCAGAATCAAAAGACTAAAAAATTCTACATTTATATTATTTCTGCTGTTGTTGTTATTGATCCAGCAACAGCTGGGCACTCTCCCTTCTGTCCAATGCCATGTAGTGATAAGTGCAGGTTTGTTGCAGTTGTCGTAATGTTTCATAGAGTGTGTTGTCAAAAATGTAGCTCTGATGTGATTTAGGGCTGTACAGTGGAACTGGTGATGATCCATAATCTCATATATGCATAGTCACAAAAAGGACACATTGGGGGAAGTTCTGGTTTTATTCTGTTCAAGTGAAAGTTGAGCTGTGTATGTTCTGTTCGGAAGATGGTGGTCTGTTTCTTTCTCTGTAAGCGGTTGCTACTGTCATTTCCTTTTGTTGTGGTCATATGTTTGAAAACTGCTCTGCCTGTCTTCCCCAAGGCCCATCTGTTCATCCAATCTTGTTTGCTTTTGTTTTTAATGATTTGTTTTTCAGTGTTGTATGTGGTTGGAGTGTTGGGCTATACCTGTCTAGATCCCTTTTTGGCCAGTTTGTCTGCTCTCTCATTTCCAGGTATGTTTGAGTGTTCGGATAGCCACTGCATCACAAGGCTGACGCCACAGGATGTTATCAGGTGATGGGAGCCAAACAGTATATGTGTCAAATCTCGGTTCAGATGATGGTCATTTTCTATCGCTTGCAAGACTGATAGTGAGTCTGTGAAAATCACAATGCTCTGCGTTTTGCTTGAATGAATGTCAAAAACTGTGCGGAGATGGTATTGCGCTGTTTCAACTGCTATCATTTCTGCATCTTAGTTGTTGCATTTCTCTCCACAGGCTGCAGAGATCTCATCGGAACTTCCATCACGGTACTGTATTAGTATTCCAAATCCAGCTTTGGTTGTGCCTTTGAATGCTGAGCCGTTTGTATAGACGTGTATCCAGTCATCTGAATAGCTGTCGATTGATGTGATGCAAGCATCAGCGTCACTGGGTCTGAAGATTTTGTGCTATTGTCTCTGAGAGATGTTGTTATGATTGGTTTTTCCAAAGAAATATGGGGAGGGATCTTTTGGTTTCTCTTCTGTTTTGGAGTAGATGGTGACTCTCCATTAGCTCTCTGATGTGATACATGATTGACTTTTGTTGAAGTCATTTCTTTGGTTTCTATGTTTCTACTAATTTCCTCTTTGGGTGGTTGGGGCACATTCTTTTGGTTCTTTCATGGAGCTCCAAACCTGCTTTATCTCTGTGAATTTCCAGGGGTAAAACATTTGAAAGAATTTCACATGCGGCAGTAGGTGTAGATCTCATGCCACCATTAATGAAACGAAGGGCATTATTTTGGACCTGTATTACCTGTATTACCTGCCCTGGGCAACAACGTCATTGCACACCGGACAGGTCCATAAGTGCTCAGTCCCCCCCAGCACAAAGCCCGCTAGGTATCCATACTGATTGTTCCAAAATTTTGGACCATGTCACGCGTATTGCAAGAAGTTGTACTTATATTATTTCTAAAACTCAAGAAAGCTCAGGAAAGTCATGTCTCTGTTTCACACACACCTGAGAACTGTACAAAGGCCAAGTGCTGGGCAGTCTGCCTGCCGGGGAAGAATCCGGCCCAGTGTTGGTCAGTACATTATACAGAGCCTGTCCTGTGGCCTGGGCGGGAAAGAAACATTCCATGATGGCTGCCACACGGTCAGACTCGTCGGCAAAGGTAACGTTGAGAGGGCTGGCCGAGAAGAGAAGCAGGATGATCTGGGCCGAGCCACCTGGTGGAGAAATATCAAGGAGGTCTTTTTAAAACTGTTTAATAAATTTGAAACCCTGGCAGAATTTTTGGTTTTCTCCCTTCTTCAGAGTTTAGTTCTACACAGCAAGGTTTTCCTTTCCCTTCTTCTCCTACATGAGCTATGCCATAAAACTAACAAGTCATACTAAACTAATAAGATTTCAAACATCTTAAACATGAAGATAGATGACTTACTGTTAGCAATTACATCCAGGAGAAGCTCTTTCTGATGTCCAGCCAGTTCAACATTTGGCCGGTCTCTTTCCTCAGTCTCTAATACTTGACCTGTGGAGTGAGCACAAAATACTTAACACTTTTGCAACCACATGAGACACATCCATTAATGAATGTTCTACTCTCATGACAAGCCAAATACAGTCAAACCTGTTCTAAAGATCAACTGTCCAGGACAATTGTGGGGCAGCAGGGTGAAATCAGACACTCATCAAAATAATGAAATTGAAGAAACTGGCACTTTTCCGTCAGTCAGTTTGGCAATTTTTATCAAACTTTTGTTTTTTGGCTCAACATCCTTAAAGGCCATTCAAAAGCACATTTTTGCGTGGATTTTACTGAAAAAATGTCGATTAAAGATGTTCATCTCAGAGATCCCGCCTCTTAAATAACCCTAAAAGTGTTGCTGACAGGGGTATTAAACACAAACCTTTCCACATTTTCACTTCACTAAGCACACACCTGTTCCTAACGCAACGAAAACCAGGTCAGCATCCCTCACTATGGCAGGAACAGCCGTTTTGTTGTACTGTGTGCACGGAGTCTTGTCCTCGCACACTTTGCCGTATCTGACATTGGGGAACAGAACCTTGAGGCCTTCCAGAGGTGTTTTAGTGAAAGATCGGTCTTGTTGTGGCGCGTAGTCACCAAACAGCTGTTCAACATTATCAGCCATTGGTCCTAACATCTGATAGGAAAAATAAGAAAGCATTAGATTAATTTCACCCATTCTTCCAGATGAATACTTAAGCTTCATGATTTAAGCACAGTTTAAAAGAAATATATAAAAAAAGAAATTCAAAAGCTCTCCATGTACTGCAAATGAACTGTCTGAAAGTATATTCATAATGTGAAAAAAATAAAACATCACAATTCACGCAAATCAACACAAAAAAAACAAACAATGGCACCATTGCACATTGTAGGTTCCTGGAGGGAGGACATTGTTTTAGAGCTAGGACCTTGGTCATTTCTTTTTAGATATGATAGGTTATTCTGGTGGAAGAAATACAAATTCCCAAATTTCAAGCAAATCGCATGAGACAGAAAGTTTAGGAAAAACAGACACTCAAAGAAATTATTTCATCAATCTGAGCTCAGTAAAAAAGCTTAACTGACTGATTGATCAGTTAAGGAGGGTGTTTTCCTTTTGTGTGTGGTTGGCGGGCGCTCTGGTGAGGTTTAGTCCTTTTTTCCTATCAATCATCTATCATCTTTATCTCTCCTTCTTCTTTTTTGTGTTTGTCTCTCTCTTGTAACATCTGTTATCTTCAACACATGAGCTCGTTATGTTGCAAGTGCCATGAAACTCTCACTTAAATATAAGTGTTTTATGCCCCCATTCACTCGATTTAGATCATTTGTCAGATTAGCTACTCTGAACCTGCCTGTCACGGCCAACCCTAGCAGTATGGGATACAATATCCCAACATGACAGACAATCTAAGATATACTATACAAAAAGTTCACTGTACAGGAATCAAACTCAAGTCTTCCGCATACAAGGAGTACAACCCAACCATTACACCATAGACACTCATGGAAAAGTGCATAGAAATCAGATCTTTCAAAGTTTTATTGAAATGGAATGTTTATATCAAAAAGGTACCCAACTCAGGAAAGTATAATCTGTGCTACAAACAAACTATCAATTTCAACTACGAAACATAAAATCAGAGGACTCTCTCTCTCTCTCTCTCTCTCTCTCTCTCTCTCATACACACACACATACAAACACACACAAACACAAATGCTTACAAATAATGCAAATGGACTGGCACATGATATACACATAGACAGAGATCCATACATGCACATAGTTAAATACCCCAGAAATAGAGAAACTACAGGGCTTGTCTCATTGTACAATAACTCACAACGACTTTGCTAAACTCTCCCTTCTTCAAAGGTAAAATCCCTCCCTGGTTTTTCAACAACACAAAAGACTTCATGGCAGCTTTGACGGCCAGTTGTTGATGTTCGGCAGATTCTATCAGATCCATACTCAGCTGGGCGTACGGGTTGTCCTTTTCCGGGTCAAACTCCCCGAGCCTCATACGAGTGTAAAACAGCGGCTTGACTCTTTCCCTCACCAACTCTTCAGTCAGTTTGCCTTGTTTCACAGCATCCACTGAGGAAATAAGGGAAGGAAAGTGACCGGAGTGCAAAATGCAGACACAGCTGAACATGCTCTAACATACGTCCGTACGAGACCTGTACAAAAAGCCACTTCCCATTTACTCCTTAGAGTAATTTTTACATAATAATGACACTGTGTAAGACATTCAGATATCTAACATGGCCACTTTTCTCTTCGACAATGACTGAACATCCTAGACAGTTTCACCTGTGTATATCTCGATGGCAGCAGGCACAAACCAGGTCAGTCTGAAATTGTTACTTTCAAGGAAAACAGGGTGCGAGTGTCAAGCGTGCCAGGAAATGGATGTTTAAAAAATCTTGTGACAAGGTTATCTTGGTTATGTTTCTTAATTTTCACTTGGTAAACTTGCACTTTATTAACACATGATGTAATTAAGTGCTTGGTTTAACGCCACTATCAACACGATTTTTTTTTAGTAGGCACATTACAGCAAGCACATCTTTAAGTAAATCAACTGACAATCTTGCTTTGGATCATATTCCTAACATTTCTTTTTATAGCAGGAACATTATGCGAATGAATAATTTGACTCTGAGATCTAACAGCTATAGCAAGTGCCCTAGGTCAAGAATAAAAAAAGAAATGTAGAATAGAAATAAATCGTTGTGAGTGAC